GCTGCGAAAAAATGTGCAACGCCTTGATATGGGACCACACACGCATGTCTGTAACCGCTTGCACACATAGGCGCATACCTGCTCCTCCTCCTCCTCCTCCTCCTCCTCCTCCTCCTCCCTTCCTTATCCCCCTCCCGACCACACGCACAGGCCATAAGGCGGAGGCGCAGGCGAGAAAAGAGACCGCGCACGCCAAGAGGCGGCAGACCCCGCCTGACTGCGACTGCCCGTCGACCGGTGGCAGCTCCTCCTCGGGAGGGCCTCGCAGCTGGACGTGGCACTTCACCTCTGTGGGCACCCCCAGTGGGACAAGGAGCGGACGCGAGAGGGGGGAGGGAGAGAGAGAGAGAGGGGGGAGAGGGAGAGAGAGAGAGAGAGGAGGAGAGAGAGGAGAGGGAGAGAGAGAGAGAGGGGAGAGAGAGAGAGGGAGAGAGAGGGAGAGAGAACGAACAAAAAACACAGAAGGACAGCCTCCAGGAAGACGAGACCCTCTGGCGGACAACACTCAAGGACGTTCGAAGGTGCCCTCCCCCGGGGAAGCACAAGAACTTCCAACCGGCACGAAGAACTTTAGAAGACCCTCCCTGGACCGACCTCGATCTTACCTATACGACCGCCCTTCGGGTGATAAGGAGGTTCGGGGGGGGGAGGAACCAACGACTCACTCGGTGGGTCTCACTATCGATCTAACTATCGGTCTCGCTCGATCGATCTCACTCGGTCGATCTCACAATCGATCTCACTCGATCTATTTCATTCGATCGATCTCACAATCGATCTGACGATCGATCACACAATCGATCTCACTATCCATCTCACTATCGATCTCACAATCGATCTCACAATCGGTCTCACTTTCGGTCTCACTATCGATGTCACAATCGATATCACAACCGATCTCACGATCAACGTCATCATCATCATCATCAACATAATCGTCATCAACGTCATCAACATCACCATCATCATCGGGACACCATCACCATCATCATCACCTCATCACCATCACCATCATCATCAACATCATCATCATCATCATCATCATCATCATCATCATCGGGACACCATCATCGTCACATTCATCATCATCATCATCATCATCATCATCGTCATCCGGACACCATCATCATCACCATCATCAGCATCGGAACACCATCATTATCATCATCATCTCATCATCATCATGAACAACATCATCAAAATCATCATTATCGGGACACCATCATCATCATCATCAGCAACATCATCATCAGCAACATCATCATCAGCATCATCATCATCACCGGGACACCACCATCATCGTCACCATCAGCATCACCATCATCATCATCGGGACACCATCATCATCAGCATCAGCATCATCATCATCGGGCCACCATCATCAAAATCATCATCATCACCTCATCATCATCCTCATCATCAAGATCATCAGCATCGGGACACCATCATCGTCATCATCATCAACATCTCATCATCTCATCAACATCATCTTCATCATCATCAGCAGTATCATCATCTCATCATCTCATCATCATCGGCATCATCGGGATCATCAACATCATCATCGGCACACCATCATGAGCAACATCAGCATCAGCATCATCAACATCATCATCATCATCATCATCATCATCATCATCATCATCATTGGGACACCATCATCATCACCACCATGGCCATCATCATCAACAACATCATCAATATCGTCAACATCATCAGCATCAGCATCATCATCATCAGTATCAGCAACATCAGCATCATCAACATCATTATCAACAGCATCATCATCAACATCATCATCACCATCATCATCGGGACACCATCATCATCATCATCATCATCATCATCATCATCATCATCTGCATCATCAGCATCATCAGCATCACCATCATCTCATCATCTCATCATCATCAACATCATCACGATAATCAACGTCAACATCAGCATCATCATCATTTGATCCATCATCATCATCATCATCATCATCATCATCATCATCATCATCGGAACCCCATCACCATCATCAACAGCATCACCATCGGGACACAACCATCATTACCACCATGGCCCATCATCATCATCATCATCATCATCATCATCATCATCATCATCATCATCATCATCATCATCATCATCATCATCATCATCATCATCATCATCATCGTCAACATCATCATCATCGGGACACCATCATCATCACCACCATCACCATCATCATCCTCACCATCACCATCATCGACATCATCATCATCAACATCATCGGGACACCGACGGGACACCATCATCATCATCATCAGCATCACCACCATCATCATCATCATCAACAGCATCAAAATGAACCTTATCATCACCATCATCATCGGGACACCACCATCATCATCATCATCATCTTCATCATCATCAGCAGTATCATCATCATCTCAACATCTCATCATCATCAGCATCATCAGGATCATCAACATCATCATCATCGGGACACCATCATGAGCAACATCAGCATCATCAACATCATCATCAACATCATCATCATCATCATCATCACCATCATCATCATCATCATCAGCATCGGGACACCATCATCATCACCACCATGGGCATCATCATCAACAACATCATCAATATCGTCAACATCATCATCATCATCATCATCAGCATCAGCATCATCATCATCAGCATCATCATCATCATCGTCGGGACACCATCATCATCACCACCATCACCATCATCATCATCAACATCATCGATATCATCATTATCATCATTGGGACACCGACGGGACACCGGTGGGACACCGGCGGGACACCGCTGGCCACCGGACGCCGGAAGAGAGTCATTTGGTCCGGCCGCGCCTCAGCCAGAGGCGGGACACCGGCGGGACACCGCGGGCCACCGGTTGCCGGAAGGGAGTCTTCTTGTCAGGCCGCGCCTCAGCCACAGGAGACTTTCCTCTCGCCCGCCCACGCAGCTTCGCCTCGCCCGCACGCTCGGCACGCACGAACACGAAACCGAAACCAATTCCACTTCGATCTCACCCCCTCACCTCCGATACCTCGGTCCGGCTGCAAGAAGAAACGGCGGCGACGACGACGAAGATGACGTCGACGACGACGACAGGCGCGAAGAGGAGAAGCGAAAAGGAGAAGCGAAGAGAGGGAAGCGCGGGAGCGGGAGAGGCGCAAGGAGGGGGGAGTGGAGTCGGGAGCGGGAGCGGCGGCCGCGGCGCCCGAACCAACCCTCTGGCAAGCACCAGCGGGAAGCGAGCACCCAGGGGGAGCGTCAGCAGCAGGTTTTCCATGTCGCCGGAGGCGCCGACGGGGGGGGCCCAGCGCCGATCCAAGAAACCCGCGCGGAGCGCAAAAAAGTTTCTGTTTGTGGCGTTTCCCTTGTTCGGGTCGTGCAGTTGATTATTGTCCTACCTTTTGCATCATTCGCTGTTTTTTTCTCTCTCTCTCTCTCTCTCTCTCTCCCTTTCTCTCTCTCTCTCTCTCTCTCTATGTCCCTACTCGATTCTGCTGGGAGCCGAGAAGTGGCACGGGGGGGGAGCGCCTGCTCCCGAGCACCCTCCGCCACGCTGCGGCCGAATGTCTACGCAGCAGCAGCCGGCCACACCCTGGTCCTTCAGGTGCTGCACTCCCTGTTCTTAAAAAGGCCGCGCGGCTCGTCAGCGCGAGCTGCCCACGGTCCTAAAGGGGCCCAGGGACACACACATGAATACACACACGAATCCCAGGATTCCCATAGTTTACCACATGCTCTGGGTTTTCGTCTTCCCCCGCACTGCCTATAAATTTCTCCATTTTCTGGGGAATCGACGATTGATTGTGTCTGTGTTTTTTTGTCCCTCCTGAGGTCCGCGGGAGCCTCCCGGACGGCATGCGAAAACGCCCGCGGGCAGGGACTTTCTGCAACAGGCGGCTCCGCAGCAGCAGCTGCAGGAGCAGGAGGGAAGGTGCAGCCACGCAGGGGAGACGGGACGGGTGCCGCCGCGGGTGTCCAGCGCCGATCCAAGATAGTCAACCCGCGCGGAATTCCGAGACTCATGTTCATGCTGGCGCTGTTTACTCGATTCTGCTACGTAGGAGAGGAGTCGCAGGGGAAGCCTGCTCCTCGCCCCCCCCCTTCGTTGGTGGGGCGCCGGCGAGCGACTGTAGCCGCAAGCGTGAACAGCACCGCAGGCGCAACCAGGGGGTCGGTTCGACCGGATCCGATGAGAGTACGGCCAGGCAGGGGAGGAGGGACGGGTGGAGAGGGGGATACGAGTCTCCCCTGCGTCACTGCCACGGGGCCCGAGCGGGGGGCGCTGAAGACAAGAAGGTTCCTGACCCGAAGATCCGATGTCCAATTTATGTGTTCCGAAATAGGGTCCCCAGAAGCCCCGGCTATGTCCTCAAGCAGACTGTTCATCCTGAGTCGAATCTTCAGTCCAGAAGCCCAGAGGGATACTCAGAGACCGAAAACGGCGAAAAACAATGTGCTGCTTTGTTCAAGACGATGGATGCCTGGGAAGACGGCACAACCTGCCTGTATTCCATCGTTCTTGTCGTCCTCCTCCTTTTCCTCCTCCTCCTCCTCCTCCGCCTCCTCCTTCCCCGTTTCTCCCTGGCCAATATCTGGGCCTCCCGGGGCCACGCATATCTCCCTGGCAGCGGCAAAAGTTTTGGCCTCTTCGAAGCTGCCGGAAACCGAGGCAAAGACTTCTCTTCGGGGAACCATGCAGCGCACAGCCGTGATGCGTCGGGCGACGAATACTACCTTTCTTCCCGCGAGGCACATCGCATGGTACGCCAGGAAGCCCCAGGAGACTCCCAGAAAGGTCCCCCAAACACCCCCAAAACTTCGTGAGGGTTCTTGGGCGCCTCGTGTTAGCCTCGTGTAGCCTCTTGGGTACTCTTGGGGTCTCGGGGGCGTCTGATCCCGACCGTCCCGAGTGCCTTTTCCGTCGGGGGGGTCGTCGTCCGGGGTCGGTGGCACCGGCCGCAAGGCCTTAGCAATAAATCTTCTTTGCGCGATGAAATTTGCGTGGTGATCTCTGCACAAAAAGACACGTCCAGGAAAGGATGCTCGTGGGCACCGTGCTTACGAGCACCTGGCTGCGCGTATCACTGCACATGAGATCGCCCGGAATAAAAAACCGCCCCACGGCTGTGAGCACCGTGCCGACATCCCGTGGCGGACGGCCGCAAGCTGAAGCATGCACTACTCGGACATGGCTGCTGTGCACTCGCGACGTGAGCTCAACCGAGACTTGTGGGGGAGTGTCCTGGAAAACTCCCGCCAAATTAAAAAGAATTGGTTTCGTGGGCTTTCACCCGTTGAAACCTGGGAGGGGGGGGAGCTTGGAAGGTTTTTTCGGGGGTTCAGAACCCCTTCCTTATTAAAAGCAACATTATGAAAATGTCAGATAGAACCTCTGGGTTGGTTTCATTCGTTTTCATGGTGGGCCCAACAAAAAACCAAATCGCAATTATGTTAGACTCTCGCTGTGCATAGAGCAATAGCCGACTCTCTTCTCCTGCTTCTCCTCTTGCCCTTTGTCCCCCTCTCGCCTGCCTGCGTCTGTCTGAACCTGCCTGCTCGGGGAGCCAGCTCTGTCCCCCTCTCGCCTGCCTGCTGGGAAGGGCAGCACACGGGGGCTCCCAAGCAGACCCAAACGGGACCTCGCCATCCCTGGGTGCTACGAACTGTGACACTATCGCCGCTTTCAAGGGCTGCTGGGGAGGCCAGCACAATGGCGCCCCACGCAGCCCCAAACGGGACCTCGCCATCCCCGGGGGGCCGCGATGTGTGAAACTGTACCCCCCTTCAAGGCTGCCGGGGGGGGCCAGCACAGTGGGGTCCCACGAAGATCCCAAAAAGACCTCGCCATCTCGCTGCTTCTGCCGAGGTGATAGTTCTTCCACCCCGATGTCATCGCTTTGCTACTCCTTCCCCATGCAATGTCTCCTGGCCTTATGTACCTCTGCTGTGCGAATCGGCCATGCACACTTGGCACGACATAGATATACGCCGTGCACCGTCTCTTGCAATGTTGCTGTCACCTTATTGTCGCCTTACCTTATATCGCCACTCGGTACCGATGAGTTGGGTACGTCGCACTGCAAGTGTTCTGTTGGTGTTCTGATTTGTTTCGCGTTTTCGCTCGGGTGGCACTCGGGTCTGATTATTGTTGTTGTTTGAAGGTTCCGCCGGACCCCCCAGCCCCCCTCCACCCAAAGGAGGTTTTGGTGGTGTCTTCCTCCCCGGACACCCCCAAAAACCAACTTCAAGCAGGTTTGGGGAAAGCTTAGGGGTGTTTCCCCACCCGGGAGGTTCCCCCACAGACTCACCCGAAACTCCCTCTCAGAAGGGCCCCAGGAGAGTTTATGCTTCCCCCCGGCCCCCCCCAAAACCCACCCTGAGGACCCCCCCAAAAAACAATCATATGGCTTAGGAAGGTTTACAAGGTTCCCTCACAGACCCGAGTGTTCTCCCCATCGGACCCCTCAGTGACCTTGACGCCTGTGGGAGCCTTCGACAAGCCTCGGCAGCAGGCGGTCCACAGCAAAAGGGCGCGTCTATTACCAAGGATGCTTCCTTCATCAACTTGGGGAGGGGACTTGTCTAGCAGCGGGCGGTGCATAGCAGGTGGGCACGTCTAATACCAAGGATGCTGTTCAAATCAGCTTCGGGAGGGTCCTCATCTAGCAACAGGCGGTGCACAGCAGAAGAGCACGTCGAGTACCAAAGATGTGCTGTAAGTAAAGCTTGGGACAGGGCCTCGTCTAGCAGCGGCTGGTGCACGGCACAGGGCAACATCTAGTACCAAGGACGTTTTTCTGTTCTGTCAGCCTGGGAAGGGGCCTCGTCTAGCAGAGAGGGGCGCAGGGCAGAGGGGCGCGTCTAGTACCAAGGATGTTCTTTCAATCAGCAGGGGAGAGGCCTCGTCTAACAACGGGAAGTGCACGGCAGGGGGGCACGTCTAGCACCAAGGATGCTTCCTTGATCAACGTGGGGAGGGTCCACTTCTAGCCCGTGGGTGGTGCACGGCACAGGGGCACGTCTAGTACCGAGCAGTGCATAGCAGAGGGACACGCCTCGTACCCAGGATGTGTTTGCACATCAGCTTGGTGAGGGGTCTCGTCTAGCAGCGGGCGGTGCACAGCAGAGGGGAACGTCCAGGACGTACCAAGCACGCGTCTTTGAATCAGCCTGGGGAGGGGCCTCGTCTAGCAGCGGCTGGCGCACGGCACATGGGAGAGAGTGGCGCACGGCAGAGGGGCCTCGTCGAGCAGCGGGTGACGCACAGCAGATGGGCACGTCTAGCACGAAGGCTGCTTCCTTTTGAAGATGGCGATGGGCCTTGTCCAGCAGTGGGCGGTGCACAGCAGAGGGACACGTCTAGTACCAGGGATGCTGCGTTCATCAGCCTAAGGGAGGGGCCTCGCAAATCAGCTGCTGGCGTACGGCATAGGGGCACGTCTAGTTCCAAGGATGCTCTTTCAATGAGCTTGGGGAGGGGCCTCGTCTAGCAGCGGGCGGTGCACAGCAGAGGGGCGTCTCCAGTACCAAGGATGCCTGTTTCAGCAACTTGGGGAGGGGCCTCCTTTAGCGGCGGGCGATGCACAGCAGAGGGGCGCGTCTAGCACCCAGGATGAATCCTCAATCGACGTGGTGAGGGGCCTTGTCCAGCAACGGACGGCGCACAGCAGAGGGGCGCATCTAGCACCAAGGATGCGTTCTTCATCAACTTGGAGAGGGGCCTCGTCTAGCAGCGGGTGGTGCACGGCGCACGGGCACGCCTAGTACCATTCGGTGCACACCACAGGGGCACGTCTAGCGCCAGGGAGGCTTGGTCAATCAGCTTGGGGAGGGCCTCGTCGAGCAGCGGGCGGTGCACAGCAGAGGGGCACGTCTAGCCCCAGGGATGCGCTGTCAAACAGCTTGGGCAAGGGGCCTCGTCTAGCAGAGGAGAGGCGCACGGCACAGGGGCACGTCCAGTACCAAGGGCCTACTTTGATCCGCTTGTGGAGGGGCCTCGTCTAGCAGCGGCTGGCGCACAGCAGCGGGTAGTGCACAGCAGAGGGGCGAGTCCAGCACCAAGGATGCGTCTTGAATCAATTTGGACAGGGGCCTCGTCTAGCAGCGGGTGGTGCACAGCAAAGGGGCACGTCGAGAACCAAGCGGCGCACAGCAGAGGGGCACGTCTAGCACCAAAGATGGTGTTCGGTCCGCTTGGGAGGAGGGGGGGGCTCGTCTGGCAGCCGGCAGGGCACAGCCGGCAGCCGTCTGGCACGTCTAGTACCAGAGGGACGTTTGCGTTGTGTGTTAGCAGCTTAAGGCAGGGGCCTCGTCAAGCAGGGGGCCGCGCACGGCACAGGGGCACGTCTGGTACCAAGGTAGCTCTGTCAATCAGCTTGGGGAGGGGCCTCGTCTAGCAGAGGCACTGCTAGTACCAAGGATGTTATGTTTACACGGCTTGGGAACGGGCCTCGTCGAGCCGCGGGGGATGCGCAGCAGAGGGGCACGCCTAGCGCCAGGGATGCTTCCTTGATCAAGTACGGGGGGGGGCCCGGTCGAGCAAGAGGGTGGCACACGGCAGAGGGGCGCGTCTAGTACCAAAGATGTTGTTTTCCAGCTCGGGGAAGGGGCCTCGTCTAGCAACGGCTGGCGCACAGCACAGGGGCACGTCTAGTACCGTGGACGCCTTTCTGTTTTATCAGGCTGGGGAGGGGCCTCGTCGAGCAGCGGGTGATGCACAGCAGACGGGGCACGTCCAGGGGAGGTTCTCCCGCCTTCCTGGGACCCCCCGAAAACCCTCCATTCTGGGTTCCTTGGGGGTTCTGCTCGGAGGTTTTTCCTGGGTTCCCCCCAGCCTCCCAAGGATGTGATCACAACACCCCCTTGGGATCACCTGGCCACCCCAGGAACCCCCACACCGTCCAGGACACCAAACACATTACACTCTGTTGATCGTGTCTAACTTGATTTCCTGAAGTGTGTCGGATGTCCGCCGGCTCCCCCAGAATCCGTCCAAAAGACATGTCGGAGGCTCCAAGATGCCTTCGGAGGTCCTGGGCCCCAGAGGCTTTCGGAAATTACTGTGAAGCCCTTTGGAGGCCATCGGAGGCTCCCAGAGGCCCGTTGGAGGCCCTGGAGGGCCCCCGAGGGCCTGTGAGCCCTCTGCTGTGCATCACCCACTGCTAGACGAGGCCCCTAACCCAGGCTGATTGACAAAAACGTCCTTGGTCCTAGCTGTGCCCCTATGCTGTGCACCACCCACTGCTAGACGAGGCCCCTCCCCAAGTTGGTTAAGGAAGCATCCTTGGCACTAGGCGCGCCACTCTGAAGTGCAGAAACTATGGAGAACTCAGGACAGAACAGAAAAGTGTTTCATGCTATGGTTAACCCCCCCCATCCCCTGGAGCTTGGGGGGTCGGAGGACCCCCCCGAACACAAACCTGCAAAAAAAGAAACCGAAGAACGCCCGACAACAAAAAAAACACCGAATACCCCGAAAGGGGGTTCCCAGGGGGGCCCGGGGACCTGCCACACCCTGCTGGTTCAGCCTCCACAGATCGCCTGACATGAACTCTACACAACGGCTGTGAGCACTGTGCTTACATCCGGTGGCAGACAGCTGCAAGCTGAGGCATGCATCATTCAGAGCAGGCCGCTGCGCAAACGCGGCGCGGGTTCACACCTCCGAAGTGAGCCTCTGTCGTGGACTGTGTCACAGACTGCGGGCTTCGCAGGCGAGGCGCCACGCAGATGAAGGTTTTCTTCTCCACCAAGGGGATGACAACCTCCTCGGCTGTCACATCCATCTCTGGAGCAGGGAAAGCCTCGTCATCTCCATCAATCTCCGTCTCTGTCGCATCCATCTCTGCAACTTGCTCACTGTCGCCCACAACGGGTACGTTATCAATTACAGAACGCTTCTTAATGCGTGCACCTTGCCGGCACGATAAATCTGTCAAGCATGCCTCCACGTTGTACTCGAAACTCTCGGCGACAATGACATGAAAAGGGCGAAGACAAATACCTTGTTCGACGATGGCTATGCACACCAATGCATATTGACTCGGGTGCACAAACATCTTTGCGCCTGAACCGAGAAGCCATTTTCGATCAGCGCCCTCCAAAGCGGCACGACACTTGCGGAGTGGTTCTCCTTCGCTCAACGCTTTACGAAAAGCCTCGGGATGGCGATTGTACTCGAGGAGGTGTACAGGCTCAGTATCTGGATCATTGATGCCCGCTACTGGGTCAGCCTCGTTCAAGGCGGTCACGTTGTCGGCCAACTTGTGCTCCAGATTTAGTGATGCGAGCTGCTCATCAACCACTGCTGGTGGATCTGGATGGCTCACCTCTTGGATCACTGGCGGCGCCTCCACTTCATCATATATGAAACCATCTATTCGAGGAAGTCCGCCGGCCCCCTTGTGGGGCCACCAGGCTGTAGGCCCGCGATTCGCAGTTTCCTGTACCAGTCGTAGGTTGTAGTTTCCAGTGTTACAGTTCTGCTTCTTGCTGGTTACTGTAACTAGTTGATTGACCGCGCGAGGGGGGGGGAGGCCCAAACCGGCATTTTAGCACCCCCTGGGCGCGTTGTCTGAATTGCTGGGGGGGCTCGAAATCGACACCCCTCACGCAGATCCGCGGGGTCAGGGTCCAAAAACACAGGGATTTGCCACATTTCTGAAATTCGGTGCCACCCCTCACGCAGATCCGCGGGGTCAGGGTCCAAAAACACAGGGGATTTGCCACATTTCTGAAATTCGGTGCCACCCCTCACGCAGATCCGCGGGGTCAGGGTCCAAAAACACAGGGGATTTGCCACATTTCTGAAATTCGGTGCCACCCCTCACGCAGATCCGCGGGGTCAGGGTCCAAAAACACATGGGATTTGCCACATTTCTGAAATTCGGTGCCACCCCTCACGCAGATCCGCGGGGTCAGGGTCCAAAAACACATGGGATTTGCCACATTTCTGAAATTCGGTGCCACCCCTCACGCAGATCCGCGGGGTCAGGGTCCAAAAACACATGGGATTTGCCACATTTCTGAAATTCGGTGCCACCCCTCACGCAGATCCGCGGGGTCAGGGTCCAAAAACACAGGGATTTGCCACATTTCTGAAATTCGGTGCCACCCCTCACGCAGATCCGCGGGGTCAGGGTCCAAAAACACAGGGATTTGCCACATTTCTGAAATTCGGTGCCACCCTTCACGCACATCCATCGCAAGGCGTGGTAACCCGAACTGCGAGAACTCCCTCGGCCCTTTAATCGCAAGGTGTGGTAACCAAGCCCGTAAACCATACACGTCTTACCAATCGCCAGGTGTGGTAACCCCTCTTGTGATCAGTTGGTTTTGCTGATTGCGAATCGGCTTCGCATGAAGTTTCGATACTGCTTCACGACAGCGCCAAGGCCTCATGACTTAGCTCTTCCATGGCCCATTCTCCGAGAGAGGGGGCCGGCGGCAGGGGGCGAAGCCCTTACGGATAAAGCTGCTCGGCCAACGTACAAGAAGATCTTATCCACACAGTGACTGCGGCTGTTCAGTCGCTGGCGACCAAGATCACGAATACAGCGCACACGACGAAGCCTCTCGACGAGGGTTCGAACAGCCGATTTTGCCGTTCCGTGGCGACTGCACTGCTTTAGATATGCACCCTCGACGTTGAAGAACGAGGCTGTGTCCTGGAAATGCGACCACGACCCTGATGGCGCGGGAAGTGAAAACACTGGAGAGCCAAGCTGCACGATCATGTTGTTCTCGATCGGAAGCATGTCCACGAGACGGTGGGCCGCAATGGAGAATTTCTCGGCAAGTACGTCGGTGCGCTGAGAGACGTCAACAAAGAGTCGCTGAGCCTTCTCATTCTCTTGTCGGAGCACCTGGTGTACATCACGCATTCCATTGCGGAGACGGTCGCATGGAAAATCATGATGAGAGCTGTAAAACTTCACCGTGTGATGAGGACCTCGACCTGCGAATCTCATGAGTCGATCCGGATGCAGCACCCAGACGAAGCCCCACATGACAATACACTCCTGTGGGCAATCGCCTCTTCCACATCTGAATACTGCACCCTCTGCGCGGGGGCAGGCCATTCTTCCATCATTCTCGGCAACGAAGCCTGTGCGAAAACATCCCTGGGCAATATTATGAACATGGCCGTGTGCGACCACCTCTGACTCAGTGCCGATCAAGCCGCAATGCTTGCACTTGTAGTCGGAGTAGTCGAAGCGAGAGCGGTACATTAGTGCCTTCTGTAAACAACAAACTGTAGCGACGCAACCTGGTGCTAGGGGACCTCGAGCCAAGCAGCGATGAACAGTCGCCCCAAGCAGCGATGAGCAGAACCGTCCTCCTTCGCCTCCTGCCCCCTGTCAGCGGCAGAGGGTTCAGCCGTTCCGAGGCGATCCGAAACCGAAACAGAAGACCGTCACAAAGCTGCGGCAGACCCATTAGGGAAACGAGCAATGACATATGAACAATCGAGGGTCCGCGCGGATTTCTCGGACCGGCGTTGGACCCACCTCCCTGGCGCGCAGAGCGCGCCAGGGGCGGCGCAGGAGGCGCCGCCAGGGGGCCCCAGCGCCGATCCGCGAAAGCCGCGCGGACCTCAAAGTTTCTATGTTTACGTCATTGTTCGTTGCCAGATGTGTTGGGCAAACTCGAGTCGAGAAAATGCCTGAGTCTCTTCCTGCGCCTCCTCTGTCTACCTACCAAACCACCCCAGCCCAACCCGCAGACCCAAATTCCGGGTTGGGCGGGGTACGGGTTCCATATGTGTTTTTTTAATGTTCCCGGACCCCCCCACCTCAGTGGGCCCCGGAAACGGCAGGGCCGTTTTTTCACCGTTTCCGAAAAAGTGTCCCTTGAAAATGGAAACGGCAAAAAAACGGCGACCGGAAACGACAACAAAAACGGCTCCAAAATTGGAACCGGAGCGGGAACCCGTCAAAGAACGGCGACGGAACCGGAAAAAAAGCGTCGGAACCGGCAACAAAAACTGCAAAACGAAACCGGTAAAAAAAGGCCCTGTCGTTTCCAGGGCCCACTAAGCCCCCCACACTGGAAAGGGAGGGCAAATGGAGGCCTTCGGGCTGGGTCGGGGTGACTTGGTGGGTGGTGACAGACCCCCGACGTCGTCACGACGCCCTGCGAGGGCCCCGAGAGGCCGAAAATGGTGAAAAACCTCCGCCGCGATTCTTGTTCACAAAACGAGGCGGTCTTTCGAGGACCCCCTCGCGTCCGACCCCCACATTCACCCTCCGACGCTGAGACTCGAGCAGCGAGGCCTTCGGGCTGGGTTGGGGTGGTTTGGTAGGTGGTGATCCTTCTGCCGCGGAGGAAGAGGAGGAAGAGGACGAGGAGGAGTAGGAGGAGGAGGAGGCTCCTGCCGGCGGCACACACCACACGGGGCTGGGCAGGGCGTGGAGGGCGGCCGAGGTCAGAGAGGCCGCTCTCTCGGAGCGGGCCGGAGACCTCCGAGAAGGCCTCTGCAGAGGGGCCCTGGGACACGCCAACCAATGCGCACAGGTCCCAGGACTCCCCACATGTTCCCATGCTTTCTGGGTTGTCGGCTTCGCCCCCACTTCCCTTTATGTTCCCATTCCTGGGGGTCGGCGATCCATTGTGTCTGTGCGTCCTCTAATTCTGCGTCACGAGGCAGGAGGGGCCCTGGGACACACACACACACACACACACCACGTCGGCACAGATCCCAGCATCCCCCACATGTTTCAAAGAATATCGGGGTGCTCGTCTTCCCCCCCTTCTTCCCGCATTTGCCAATTATTGGGGGCCGGCGATTAATTGTGTTTGTGTGTTTGCTCCCCTCCTGATTCTGCGTCAAAAGGCGGGAGGGGCTCCAACTGTTCGCCGACCCCCGCTTGCCAGGGGCGAAAAGGCGTGCGACATCTGGCCGTCGTCCCCCTCCCCCGTTTCCCTTCCCCTGGAATCCAGAATCCCATTCGAGGGGGGGGGGGCTGCGGAGGGGGTCGACGAACTCACAAGCGCACCGTCCTGGCCCTTGGAGCCTCCAAATCCACCCAAAGATGGCTCAAGGAGGGCTCCAACGTGACGGAGAGGCCTCTGGAACATCCAAAGTGGCCTCGCGGCCCAGAGGCCTCCAAGAGGCTCCCAAGAGGCCCCCAAAGAAGCCCCGCAACAGACGCAGAAGAAGAGTGGGACAAACCAGTAACAGCTACCCGCAGGCAGCACGACGGAGATTTGCAACAACACGTAAGAGATCGGACATGGCACATCTCCTGGCGCTCGGCGAGATTGAGTAAGCTCTTTGAATCTAGAGACACACACACACAAACATCGGCGAGGCAGAGGCAGTCCGCTCCAGCGTGCGGCTATCCGGGGCAAATGAGATGCACAAGCAGAAGCTTTCGGAGAACAGCGCCGACTTTACAGATCGGCGCTGGAAGCGCGCCGCCGGGGGTTCGCTTCGATCGCTTCGAGGGCGCCCGAGAGCGCCTGCCAGGGGCAGCTCGCGGCCCGGCCCGATCCGCTCCGATCCCGAGAAACCGCGGCCCCGATCGCAGCCCGATGCGCCCCAGCATGAAGCGAGCCCCAATCCAGCCTGCGAGGGGCCGATGCCCGCTCCGCGGTCCCGGACGGGCCGACCCTGATCCGCCACATGCGCCGCTCCAGGCGAGGAAGCCTCGCTCCCGATCTCGGCCCAGTCCGACCCGGCATGAAGCGATCCCCTCTCTGGCCCGAGAGAGGTCCGTGCCCGACCCGCGTGCCCAGGCGCGCCGACCCCGATCCACCACAGGCGCCGCTCCAGGCGGACCCCGATCCTCTGCCCTCGCCCCGCGAACCACGCTCCTCGAGCCTCGCTGCCTCGATCCTCGCTGCCTCGGTCCTCGAGCCCGGCTCCTCGGGCCTCGACCCTCGAGCCCCGGCCCTGGGCCTGCGGGCCTCGACCCTCGGTCCCGTCCTCCTCCCTGCCCCGCCCAGGGGCAGGAGGTGAGTTGCGCCGCGCGACCCTCCGAGGGCTGGGTCAGGGGCAGTTCGCCGCTCGAGGAGGCGCGACAGGGTAAGCGCACGGCCAACCGCCTCTCGGGGTCTCTGCTCGTCGACCCCCCAATGGCGTAGGCTGCGCAGGAGGCAGCATCTGTCCAGGCGCTGCCGGAACTCTGCGGCGTCCGTGTGGCATCGGGCGGCATCGGTGACGCTTCCGGCAGCCTTGAGGTGGCTTCGGATGGCCTCGGACGACCACGGACTGGCCTCGACCAGTCTTGGATGCCCTCGGATAGATATGGCGCGGATGGCGGTGCGAGAGGGCCACGCAAGGTCTCCCGTAAGTTCAACACAATGCCACTCTACGAGTTCCCCACCCGCAGAAGAGCGCTCAGAAGAGAAGGAAATCATGGGATCCGCCGCCGTGCCCCCTGGCACGTGGAGGCGTGCTAGAATGCCAGGAACTGCTCTGTGGGATCGCTGTCGCCTTCGAAGGGATCCCCCCCTCTAACAGCAGAGTGCTGCGTTCATCGCTCCCCCGTGCCTCTCTAGGCGGCTCGACGCCTCCCTAGCGTTCTGGTGCCCAGAATGGTGTTCAGGACGGCCCGAGCAAGCCACCGACGCCGCGAAGATGGCCCAAGGTGCCTCCAAGAAAGGCCCCTGTGCACCCTGACAGGCCTACGCGGCTGGCAGGAGGGCCCGAAGAGGCCAAATGTCATTGGTTGTGGAATTGACTACCTACCAGGCTGCCCCAACCTGACTGGCGCCTTCGGGTTGGGTTGGGGTTGGTGAGATATGATGGACGATGTCCGTGCTGCAGCCTTGTGGAGCTTCGGACAGCTCCAGACGGCCCAAGGAAGCCTGCAAGACGATCCCAGGCCCGACCCTGGAGGGCCCCGAGACTGCTCAACGTGGCCTCAAGATCCTAGACTGAAGTCGGGCGTGTCCCCCTACAGGGGGAGTTTCGACGAAAAATAAAACATACTCAAAAAAAAAACAAAATGGGCAAAAAGTATTCAAAAACAGTCCCCAGGCGATTTTTTGACTATTTTTGAATATCCCCCCTGTAGAGGGACAGGCCCGACTTGACCCTGGAGGGCCCCGAGACTGCTCAACGTGGCCTCCAGATCCTGGACGGCCCGAAGGAGCCCCGAGACGGCCCAAGGAGTGCCCCCACACGGCCCAAGGCAGGCCGAAGGCGGCCCCGCCCGAGGCGGCCCCAAGACGAACCCCCCCCAGACGCGCCGCAGAGCACCGGGATGAACCAAGAGAGCCAACGACGGGCCAAGAGGGCTTCGAGACTACCCGAGAATGAAGGGGCCCAAGGACACACAAATGAATACGCACAAATACAAAGATTCCCCATCTTGTCCCATACTTGTTGGGTTTTCGTCTTCCCCCCCACTTCCCATACTTTACCATATTTTCTGGGGAATCGACGATTAGTTGTGTCTGTGTGTTGTTTCCCCTCCCGAAGGAGCAACGTCCCAAGACGACCCGAGAGGGCCCCAAGGTACCGCCACGACTGCCCCCCCGGCGGCCAAGAACACAACGCACAATGGCATGCCACGTGCTACGGCTCTCTGGAGCCGAAGACAGAGGACGCCCGTGTCGGCGGTGCTCGCAAGGTCGGCACACAGAGTGTCGTGCTGGCACGGCGGCGGGCCTTGCCGCAGGCAGCCAGAGGAACCCGCAGGAGGCTGACTCGGACGCACACGCATCGAGAATGGACGCCCCGCCCCCCCACGCGTGGCTCCGCATCGGCCCACAACTCTCGGGGATCTGGGCCGCCGTACCCCTCGGACAGAGAGGCTTGCAGTTCGAATGAATGCCGGGGTGGGGGCTAGCTTCAGGCTCGTCCTTCCTCGTCCCTCTATGGAAGAAGGAGGAACGCCATAAACAGTTGGCGCTCCGCGCGGACTTCTTGGATCCGCGCTGAACCCCCCCGCGCGCCAGGGGCGGCGCCCGAGGCGCCGCCAGGGTGGTCCAGCGCGGATCCGAACAATCCGCGCGGACCTCCGAGTTGTTATGCTTATGCCATTGTTCGTTCCCCTTTTTTTCTCTTTACATCCGCAGCCACGGACCCCATCAAGTAGGGGGCAGGTCATCTCGAGATCGGCAGCGGCCCCGGCCCTCGTGTGGTCAGGGTGGGGCCCTCTGCCCAGTCTCGCCCAGACACAGCACATCGAGCAGGCGGCCTGCCAAGGCACTGCTAAGATATAATTGCTTGGTTCCCCTCAGACAAAGGAATCGGCGACGTCAGCGTGGAGAGAAACAGTGTCGCCATCACGCCGCGTATCCGATGCATCGTCGAAGCGGCGCGATTCCCGGACCCCGTCTGCTTTGGTCCCGTGTGTCAGGCCACATCCGGTCGATGGACCTATGGAGGCCCCTCGCCTCGCATTCTGAGACGGGGGGCGTGAGACACTGTAGTTACGGCAACAGACAGCGCATGCAAGAGAAGATTGGCGGATACGGCAGACTCAAACACACAAATCATACACCAAAAACGTTGATCCCATAATGGGCAATTTGCTGTGTCACCCGCTGAAATAGGAAGCGGCCCAATTGGGCAACGAAAAAGAAAGGGTCTTACGCGAGATGGCATAGCGACCTGACGCGGCGGTTTACGCGGGCCGCCAGCCCGGCACGCTGCATAGAAGACGAGGGCGTTTACGCGCGACCCTACGCGGGCACCGTACGCGCCAATGTCGGCGAAGACGAACCCGTTTTTCTACGTCGCTTAGTTGGGTGGCCTGAGCAATGCGGCGGCGGTTACTGCTGCATGCTTGCGCAGTCACACGCTGCCCGCATCCGGGCGGCCTGGAGATCTCGAAGCTCGGGCCAGCCTATGCTCAGAGATGAGGGGCGACGATAGGGGGGACTGGCCCGGGCGAGGAGACATCGACTTGGAATCGGCGATGCATCGCCGACGTATCGGCGACAGGCGCCCGATAGCGAATGGGCACCCTCCTAGGCGGGGCGGGGCTATGAGAGATCAAACGACGATCCAAGCGCGATTAGGGGCCGATGACTGCCCTACTAAGCCCAATCCCCTGGTAGCTTTCGGGTCACAACTCAAGCCTCCGGCGGACGTTCGCACCGATCCAGGCACCTCGGTAACGCCCTCGGCGAGGCGCAGCCGCTGGGAGGCACCCCGAGGCTGGGAAACCGCCGAGGACCGACGAGAACTCTGAAAACCCTCGACCTCGGGAACCGATCCCTGGTTCCAGGTCGGCGACTGCCTCCCCTGAGCCCACAAACGCCCCCTAGCGCAAGGTCGGGCATGTCCCACTACAGGGGGATTTTGGACGAAGGATGAAACATATGCAAAAACAGTGATGAAAATGCCCCCAAATAATCAAAACATCGTCCCCTGACTATTTTTTTGCTATTTTTGAACTTCCCCCCTGTAGAGGGACATGCCCGATTCAACCCCAGCGCTGCCCCCGAAATGCGCGCAGGCAGGCCCGCCGCGCCCTCGCTGCCCCCGCGGCCCGCTCTCCATCGGCGGCCGAGCGAGGGGGGGGTGGGGGAGGCAGAGGGGGAGGAGGAGGAGGAGCACAAGGAATGCGAGCATGAAAGACAGCCTGAAGTCTTAAAGCTAGACGAGTTACGAAAACAAACTCGATGCCCCTCCCTCCCCGCGGCTGTCCTGCGTCGGCTCCACGACGGGCGGGGGCCGCGAGAGGCGGGCGAGCTCGGCATCACGAGCGTGGCGGGGCGGGCCGCCAGGGTGAGGGTACCGTCCCTCTCGAAGTATCTTGAAATTCTGATCTCCCTTGGGCCCGGGAATGCATCTACCGACAAGCCATCTGGCGTCACAAGTGGCAGTTTTACCGCAAGCGCTGCAAAAGGTTAGCCCGAAACGCCCCAAAAACTGGAGGCGGTGGGAGAGGTGGAGTCTCGAACCTCCAATCTCCTGGGGCCCCCGCAACGGAAAAATGCCACCCCCCAGAGGCCTGGCCTGGCAGGAAGCAAGAGCAGCAGCTTTGATCGAGGCTCTCGTTTCGAAGCGAGAGCAACTGAGACAAACAAACTTGGGCCCGACCTTCCGCCACTCGTGGGCGGAGACACTCAGCGCACGGGCCACCACGGGGACGGGGGGCACCTCGGGACGCTCAAGGCGAGACGCGTTCCAAGGATCAACTTGGACGGACTGCTCCAAAGCTCTCCGCGCTCGCCTACGGATCAGCGCTGACTCAGCGTCTCTACGGTCGGTCTCTGGAACAAACCCAATCTGGAACAGACTCCAATTCAGACGGGCAGCCTTACCTGCGAGCGCGTCAGCACACACATTGCCGACCACGCGGAAAACTTCACGCTCACAGGACATGTTCACATCGTCGACCGAAACGTGAGACGGGGCCCATTCGACTATTATCTCCGCGCCCCTCCCCTCGGCGGCCCTAAAGATTCTGGTCAAAGCACTTACTTACCTTGGGACCAGACCTTCAGAACGGGACGGTGGTCGGTAATATAGCTCAAGTGCCCTACCGTTCTCTCAAGGGCCTCGGCAAAAAAACGCTGTGAGCTCAGCACGGGGGGCGGTCTGGGCTTTACCTGGAACCGTAATTCCGAAACTCGCGCACGGCTCCCACACTGCTCCCAAGCGAAAGCGCTGCCTTCGAGAACAACGATCGCGGCCCCCACCCTGCGACGCCGAGGGCCGTCAGAGTACTCACCCCCCGAGCCATCACCGAACACGCAGACGAAACCCTCGGCGTCGCGGGGTGCGGAGGCGAAGCAGTCGAATGAAATATGCATGGGCTGTTTTCTTCATCAAAGACTGGGCAGGTGTCGGGGCGGCTCGGAACGCCGCGAAGCCACAAGGACGGGCTCGCCACATGGTTGATCCGCGCCTCCTCCACCAAGCACGAGCTGTCGTCGTAGTCCTTGTGACCACAGTTCATTGGACAGCTCCAGATACGATGGTATAACGTTTCTTCTTCGAGGCCGCACCTGGCGCATGTGGGCGCCACCTCATAGCCAGCAGCTCGTAGGCGGGCGCGGGGCCACTGCCCACCAGTGGTGACAGCAATGGTGAGACCGACTTGGCCGTGCTCGTCAGCCTTGGCGAACCTCTCGATCTCGCGAGACACATGCATCAAGTCAGCTCCGTGCTTGAGGTCCTCAGCAGCCTCATGCTGGGACGCCTTGGCCCAGAGCTTTTTGTCAATCGGGCAACTGACATCGTCGAGGATCGCCGAGAAGTCACTGGTCATCTCGACGAAATTGTCATCGGTGGCCGACGGGATGAGCCACGAGTGCCCTGTGTCGATATCCCATTGTGTTGCCGCCACAGGATCCCCGCTCAAGTCCATCAGCGTGGCGATCGTGGCGCTGACGGGCCCCTTGACAATGCGCCACTTGCGCTGCCCAGCTCGCCGAAGTCGAGGCACGACATGCGCCCACACCTTCTGGATGCGCGGGTGCAGCTCGGGGTGCTGTAGCCACAACTGGAGCCAGGTGGGGCGAGGAGGAGGAGGAGCAGGAGGAATAGGAGGAGGAATAGGAGGAGGAGGAGGAGGAGGAGGAGGAGGAGGAGGAGGAGGAGGAGGAGGAGGAGGAGGAGGAGGAGGAGGAGGAGAGGAGGAGGAGGAGGGGGAGGGGGAGGAGGCGGGGGAGGGGAGGGGAAGGAGGAGGAGGGAGGAGGAGGGGGAGGGAGGAGGAGGAGGAGGAGGAGGAGGAGGAGGAGAAGGAGGAGGAGGAGGAATAGGCGGAGAGGAGGAGGAGGAGGAGGAGGAGGAGGAGGGAGGAGTGAGGAAGAGGGAGGAGGAGGAGCAAGAGGAAGGAGGAGGGGAGGAGGAGGAGGAGGGAGGAGGGGAGGAGGAGGAGGAGGGAAGGAGGAGGAGGAGGGGCAGGAGGAGGAGGAGGAGGAGGATGGGGGAGGGGATGAGGAGGAGGAGGAGGAGGAGGAGGAGGAGGAGGAGGAGGAGAGGAAGAGGAACAGGAGGAGGAATAGGAGGGGAGGAGGAAGAGGAGGATGATGATGATGAGGAGGAGGAGAGGGAGGAGGAGGAGGAGGAGGAGGAGGAGGAGGAGGAGGAGGAGGAGGAGGAGGAGGCTTGCGGCTTGCGGCTGCCGAGGCGCAGGTCTGTGACTAGCGCCGAGCAGTGAAGAGGGCCAGGGGTGAGGGCCTGGCGACTGGGGGTGCTACGCGCACCGAAGACTGGCCTCCAGCGTTGTGGAGTATGAGCGGGAGGCCGACTCTGATTCAATCAGAGTCCGAAGCAGGCTCCGACGGTGCCTGAGACAAAACCGTGTTCGCAGCATTCGCTCGGGCATCGAGCGAGGCTGCCGAAGGCGGGCAAGGACGTGGTGTACGACGGGACGACGTCACGACACGACCACCACAGTGTCTTTGCTCCATACTATCCTGGTTGGCCGAACACGCAGAGCTAGCCCTTGGTCCAGACGCCTCGGAAGACGGGAAACAAACGGCACCAGGCTCCGAACCAGAAACAAGGGCACCATCCCACGGACCCAAAACCTCGCCCGTTTTGGGGTGGCAACCTACCTCTGCGTGTCGCCAGTACATGCGGTGATTCTGAATCGTGCTGGCTACCTTGGCCTCCCCTTCGCACACTCGACCAAGCTTGCGGCATTTGCCGTCGGGGAGGATCCAGTATCCAGCGCACCTCTGACAGATGATCACCCTACCGTGGCGGACGGGCCTGTGGCCCAGAGCAGCGATGGCGTTCAACCCAGCCCCCACCGCGGCGTCGGGCACGGAAGGAGAGGAGGGGTCCTGGCCCAGCGAGGGAGGAACAGGCTCTGACACCGCGGGGCTGCTCGCAGTGTGGAGGCGAGCCTGTGGTTCAGCAGAGAAAATGATGTCAGCGCGGCAGCGCTCTAGTTCACTGCCCTGGCACCTCCTAGCAGCCCCACTGCACATCACTCGCAGTGTGGCTTCGCTCCTGGCTGACATATTACACTTCCTGCAGCGCCATTCAGCACGAGTCGGCAGGCGATAAATCTCGTGCTCCACGAGTGTCAAACTGATTCGCTCCACGTGCTGACTAACGGGGGTCATTGGGGGCTCAAACGCCTTGGAGTACTCCCCAATGATATGGACCGCGCGCGCCAAGAATCCCCAGGTGGCTTTGCTGGCCTTCAAATGGGCCTTCTCCGCGTCCAGACAAACCTGCGCGTACTGATGATCCTGGGCTCCAAGGCGCGCAAAAAAATCGGCCCAAGAGTTACCCAAGTAGCGGGTGATCTGTCCTTGCTCCAGAGACATGACATCGTCGATGTCTCTGTGGGCAGGGACCCATTCAAACTCAGGCGGTGGCCTATGTTGCTCGAAGAGCTGGAAGATACAGCGCCACACATCCGCGTGTCGGGACAACCCGCAGGCAAGCTGGGGGCTCCAGCTCTGGCCTTCCTGCACAAAGGCTAAATGATCACTATATATTGTGGTCGCCTGGGGGGCTACCGAGAAAGCCATCAAACCCGCGTACCGCTCCGCGCGGGGCACCGATTGGCGCCCAGGGAGCGGCCCAAACACCGCCCTCAAGGGCAGCCCAGAGTCCGACAGCTCCACCGCGGCCCATCCACACCTGCGCAGTTCGGGGCTCGCGTTCGCGAGCCCCGAGCCGTCAGTGTAGATCCGCCGACCCCAGGGAAGATGCGTAGCCCCCCAGTGGAACACAGGGCACTGCGTGGGTTGGGGCGCGAGCTTGATGGGATGGTAAGGCAGCCCGTACAGCTCCAGAGAATCCCACTCTGGGTCGCCTAGCCCATTGTCCCCAAGACCCCGCAGATACGCCCTGCGCTCCAAGACCTCCTCTGAAAGGGATTCAACAGGCAGCTCCTCAGGTGGGTGAAGGACCCCTTCACAGTTGTACAACTGGTGCCCCAACGTGCCAGCCTCAGAACTCTCACAAATCTCGCACTGGTGACTGTCAGAGATCCCAAGAGCCTTCTTTCTAGCTGGGGGCCACAATGCGGAGCCGAGCAATCTGCGGGCGCAGCCTCTATGGATCGGATTCTTCAAGCTGAGAACCGAGTTGCGAAGTGCTCGCCTCCAGACTCCATGAGGATTCCCAACTATGGGTTGCATGTGGCTGACAATGCGAAGCATCTGCCATCGTCCAATACTCTGTCGCAGCAACAGCTTCACATCCCAAGGCGTAGTGGTAAGAAGGTTAACGAGGGTGCCCTGGTCGTTGTATAGCATATGTGCCGACGCCATCTTCCAGTCCACCCTGTGCAGGCTGAGCGAGACCGCCGAGAGAGGCCCATTACATCTGGCCCACGTGAATTCACCATTCCAAGATTCCATCATGGTAGCCCACGCCCGCTGTAACTGACTGAGTGGTACCAATCCATCCCAAACTGTGATCGCGTATCTGCAGACTAGCTCGGACGTGACATCGAATATCGGGTCAAACCATTCGTCGCTCTGAGTGGCCAGCCAAGCTGTAAGACTGGCGTGTGATTTGGCTCCCACCAAAGAACCTGCCAGCGTGCGGAGCTTTGCCAGCGTGGCAGGGACGACGCCGCTAGCTCCCGCTCCATGTGCAGCAGCAGGCAACAGGCCCGTGCGCCACAGAGTGTGAACCTGGGC